GAATAAAACAAATTACTTAAGTACTATTTTCTGAGGTTCAGTTGTTCTGTATTAAAGTTTATTAAAGATTTTGCCTGTCCCATTCAGTGTACACTAGGGTAAAGCAGATATGAATTGAATCCATTTGTCTCAGTTTTTTAAATCTAATTTACTATAATATATCTGTTCTCAGTCTGGGATTCTAGTGTTGTATGTTTTTATCAAAATGTATTAATTAGTATTAAAGCAATTACATAAAAATATTGTTAAATTGTAGCTTGCTCATTCTTTCAGTTTTTACTCTTTGCGATTTTTAAATGTTACAAACAATGTAATGTTAAATGGTAAAATAGCTACAAGATTAATTATTAGTAAAAGCATGTTTCATGTTGAAGTAATACACATTAAAAGCTGGAGTGCTTCTGAATTTGAATAAGATGGATGTGAAATTATTTCGTCACTGTATTCCCTCACAGAGGGACTGGTAGAAACTAGAGATAATGGAAACATTCTGGCTTTAAGCTTTCTTGAATATTCTGTAGATGTTTCAGAGTAGCAGCTGTTGGTTTGATGCACTTATGTTAAATTGTCTTTTTGACTTCAGAACTTCCATCACTTTCACATTCAGAGAGAATTGGAGTGTAAAGTTTTGCGATCTGTGCTTTCAGTGAAACTTGTTCAGTTTCTCAGAAAACAAACAGCCTTTAAAAGGAGTTCACCTGATCCATTCATGCAGCTTCTTAACAGCAGCTGTCTTGCAAGTTAACTTTAATCAGGCTGATCATACGAAATATATTGATAAAAACAAAATATTAAATATTTTCCCACACATGTTAATACATTTTAACGAAAACGCGTGTATTGAGCTTTTTTTTAAAATTTGGTGTTAGTATTTTACTTGGACACATTTTCAATTATTTTTCGTTTTCCCTTCATTTTCTCTTCTCTATTAATTATTGCTTACATCTAAGAATTTGTTTGGAACATACATAATTAGTTTTTGAACTCCCTACATTTGATTTGTTGATTAGTTGTCTTTCACAGCTGTCGTGTAAATAGGATATTTTGTACTTAAATTTTATAAATTTCGATTCGAATCTTTAACAATGCCTGCTGTATCTTTCTGAAGTTTAAATAAAAACTTTTTTTCGTTGCAAAAACTCGATCAGCAGTCATGAAAACGGTCATTCTTTATAAATTGTCACGATCGGAAACCTAAGGGCAAAACAACAAACTTTAAAAATGTCACTTTGGAATTAAAATGAATCCGTTCAGTTTCTGTAGTCTGGATTCTGGTGAACTAACTTCCAGCTAGTTTAGCGGGTTTAGATCGCTTTGTGATATTCCTGGTGAGATTAGTTTTAAAAGCACAAAAGATAGAAATAAAAATGGTTTCAAAAGTTCAAATTATGTTTCTTTTGGTTGTTTAGACAGGCAGATGGATGTTTTCAGTTAGTAATTCGAAGGCGCATTTAAATGTCTTGTCTAAAACCCATGATGATAAATCTGGTTGCTAGAAGCTGGTTTAGATGTATAATTTAAGATAATTGTTCGATACAATCTTGCTTTTCCAACAGATCTAAAAACTAAAATTTTCGTTTCAAATTAGTCAAACACTTTAAATTGACCTGGTGCTGCGAGTATCCCTTTTTCCAGGCTGTCCCCCGCAGCTGACAAGCCGTAAGTACTGGTGTCAAACTGCTTTTCGGATGTTTCTCCTCTAATTCGGTGTGTTTAGAGGACAGTACAAGGGGGAAGGCATAATTGAAACCTTGCTTTTAAAATCTGTCTCTGTAGCAGTGGATTGACCATACCTGGGGGGTGGAGGGGAGGGAGCGTAACAATGGTACATTTCCTTCACAGACAAAGGGGAATAGTAAAGAGAAGCTCAAATTCCCGGTATAGGTAGCGGGGTGGGCTGCAGATGCTGCACACACAGTGAGAGGGCACTGGGTGGCTATTAAGGATTCCCTTGCTAGGTTAGATCACTTACCACAGAGGAAAACATCTTCTTTATTAACTGTGCATTGCTCTTTTATCCCCTTTACCGAGCATAAATATTTGGGTTCGGTTTTACCCCTTAAAGAGCAAATCTTTTTCAAGTCCTCGGTTAGAATGATGGGACGTGGCAAGCGATCCCGATCCTTGGTTTTCTCTTCTAATGCTTTCCCTTAGCAAGTGAAGTCGCTGTAGAATTGGAGGACACCGAGGGGCGTGTGAATGCCCCGCTAGAAGGGGCGTGCAGGGCGTTCCTTGGGAAGCCGACCGGCTCTAGACATCTCCCGGAGCTTCCCCTCCTTCCGCAGACCTCTCGCCGCCTTGGGAAGAAGCTGGGGAGAGGTTTTAGAAAGCAGGGTTTGGTCTGGGTCAGGGCGGCTAGTGAACGCCAAGTCCTGGGGAGCTGGATTTTGAGGTTGGATCTGTCAGCTCAGGGGTCACATCGACTAATGCCCCACCTCCCCGGTGCCAGCGCCACTCCGGTTTGACTTTTTCTCCTGACTCCTTAGCCCCAGTCGCCACCCCTGCCAGTGCCAAAACAAATGCCACCGTCGGTACATTTCCTATTGCCCCTAGACTCGGAATTTGGCTTCGGGTAGCCGGGCTAACACGGCGGGTCAGGAGAGCCTGTTCCTTCTGGGGGTGGGTGCTCTGGGAGCTACAGCAAGGGAAGGGGAGCCCCGATCGGCTTGGGAGCAGCAGCCAGACTGCCTGCTCTGCCAAGGGGCTCTGGACGGGAGAAGGATGGGCCATGGCGATGAGGCACTGGACCCAAGGGGAAGAGGGTGGGAGTGGGAGTGTGGGGAGGATGAGCCACTGGAGCAGGGGCAGCGGGTGCTGGCGAGCGGCGATCAAGGGCAGAGCAATGGGGTAAGAAGCTTTCCCTGCGCAGCCCCCTCGGCGTGGGGCGGCCGCTCTAGCCCGCTCGAGGGCAGTGCCCGGCTCTGGGGGGTGGGGGCTCTGGAGAAGGCGCAGTGAGCCGGGCTTTTGCCGCTACCGCGCCAGTTCCACGCAGCTGCCTTGGGTTCCTTAGCACAGCGAAATGTTCCCCACAGGGGGGCCGGTCGTCCCCGCCCCCGCTCTGCGCCCTGTTGGGGACCCCGCTCGCCCTCACTGCAGCCATACCCAGGCCAGCTGGTGCTGTTTGGTCCCTCGGTCCCAGCGGGGAGGTCCCCGATGCCTGGCCAGCCTTGCCGGGCAGACCGGTGCGTGCGAGGGGCCCGTGGGTCGGGAGTGACATCTGGCCGGACAGGTAAAGTCCCTACGGTCGGGCACCCCGTTCCCTTGCCCGGCTGAGGGCGGCGGGAGGGCAGGGCTGCTGGGCACACCCAGCGCTTGGCAATGCAACTGGAGCTTGGCTAAAATCGGCTAAGGCCATGACTGAGGCTATGAGTGACAGGGGCTGCATCTCTGAGCTCCCCGAGCTCTGTTCCCAGGCCAGGGGAAACTTCCCTTCCCCCCACTCGGGCCCCCTCACGCCCCAGGCCAAGGACAGTTTCATCCGCTTTCCAGTCCTCCCCCTGGTCTCCTAACCCCGCTGTCCAGGAAACCCCTTCCCAGGTCGCCCTGCACAGAACACGGTGCCTGCTGCGTCCTCGGACCGCTTTGCAGGGGAGCTTCGGGGTGACCTGCTCGCTATTTTCTCTTTCAAGGGGAGCGCTCCCCAGCCCCCCCAGCTGAGCCTCCTGGGGGTGTTTCCAGCCTCTTGATTCCTCAGAGCGGAGTCAGCCCTAGCCAGCCTGACCAAGAGCTGCCTTTCCCTGGAAATGCCGGGCATAT